TGCATAGTAGGACCACCCAATTGTCACAGCTCAGAAATCCAGTCTTCACCACAGATAGTGTGAGAAGCCACCTCTGCAGTGGAGCACCTGCCCTGTGAACTGCAGTGTCCCAGGAATTAGAACAAAAGATGCTGTTAATCAACAATGCTGCTGTTAATCAAAAAGATACCTTGTTTACACTGACATATGAGGCCCCAGGGCAGGTCTGTGTGAGGTCCATGGGACTGCCTATGCTTTGTACACAGGACATACTCAATATATGTCTCCTGCTTTAGTGAATGAATGAATAAATGAATGAATCGACAGATAAATGATATACATTTCTGCTGTAGCAGGGCAACTTGCTGGATGGCCTTAGGCATAACCATGAATTAGGCAAAATATCTCATTAGTCTTTTCCTGCCTGCACTTCTAGCTCCTCTCTCCTCTGGCTTTTTGCCTCTGCCCAAGCTTTTCAATGCCTTCAGGGCACTCTCCTGACTGCTCGGGAGCCCACACGTCCTCCTTTTCCTACAAATGATGCCCTACTCTGGGACTTCACTGCCCAGTTCCCCAGCAGTTTTTCAGCAATTTCTCAGTTCTGAGTCTCTTCCAGGGGCCGTCGCTCTGGCTGGCTGTCTCCCAGGTAGCAGGGCTCAACTTTGAGAAACGCACAACTTGTGCAAGTGAAGATTGTCTCTGCTGGTTCTGAGAAAACCAGTAAAGTTTTCTACTCAAAGCATGATGTGGACTGATTAAAAAATAAATAAGCAAATACATTTTTAAATCAGCAAATCTTCCTTTTAAATTATTTTAAGTTCTGGGCTACCTGTGCAGATGTGCATGTTTGTTACATAGGTAAATGTGTGTCATGGTAGTTTGCTGCACCTATCAACCCATCACCTAGGTATTAAGCCCAGCATGCACTAGCTTTTTTTTCTGATGCTCTCCCTCCCCCTATATCCTCTGAGAGGCTCCAGTATGTGTTGTTCCCCTCCCTATGTCCATGTGATCTCAGTGTTCAGCTCCCACTTACAAGTGACAACATGTGGTGTTTGGTTTTTCTGTTATTGTGTTAGTTTGCTGAGAATAATGGCTTCCAGCTTCACGATCTCATTCCTATTTATGGCTGCATAGTATTCCATGATGTATATTTACTACGTTTTCTTTATCCAGTCTATTAATGATGGGCATTTGGGTTGATTCTATGTCTTTGCTATTGTGTATAGTGCTACAATGAACATACACGTGCATGTGTCTTTATAATAGAATCATTTATATTCCTTAAAATACTATACAGAATGCTGGAGTGGACTCGATGAGATTGGCATTTTCATCTGCTGCCAGCAGATATCATGTGGTACGTTTATAAAAATCAGTCTTGTGATAAGTTTCAAGAATTAAAAAAAAATTATACCCTTTAACCTAAAATTATACCTTAGATATTTATCTGAAATAATCAGAGATCCAGAAAAATGTTTATGTACAAAGATATTTATAACATTATTTACACAGTGATAAAGGAAATTCAACCTACATGGGAATGATTAAATACAGTCATGATGAAATTCTATGCAGTTATTTAAATTGTTTTTGAATTACTTTTAATGACCTGGTAAGATACTTATTAGCTATTACAAGTAAAAAAAAAAAAAGGCAGGGTTCAAAATTTTTAAATAAAATTTAATTTAAAAATTATGTGCATATAAATATACTGATCATCTATGTGATAGATTTGGGGTGGTTTTATCTCTCTTGATATTTTCTAAATTTTCTAATATGTACAAATTTACTTTTATGATCAGAAAAAAAATGTAGAAGCATTTTTTATAGAAGTCTTTTCCAGTTCTACAGCCAGAGCCCTTCCAAGCCTGCAGCCTCTTACTGCAGGATGCTCTGATACAGGTCGCTGCTGGGGACAGTGCCCTGTATTTGCCAGGAGCCAGCCTTGAGCTCCATTAGCCTGTATTCTGGCCCTGGTTTTGCCACTAACTGGCTACAAGACCTTGGACATGTCATTTTATTTCCCTGGACTTTCAGGTTCCTCATTTATAAAATGAAGCATCTGGATTAGATGATCTTTAGGGGTTAGATTGTGATTCTGTGATTCTGATAAACTCATGAGGTGCAGGCATTCACTGTGAATAAGTTTCCATGATTTACCCTTTTCCACTGTATGTCTCTTAAACAGGGGATTCTTATCTGAAACTAGAGGAATGATTCTCTAATGGCAGAATCCCACATCAGGCTGTGAATCACCTATACCCAAACCCAGACCTAATAGTTTTCTACAACTCAGCACCCTAGGCATTATCTGTCCCTTCCCCTTCACTACAAAAAGAGGAGGAGCTAAGAGGGTCAGGGACCCTTCCACATCAGTCTCCAGGGAGGAGGGGTGTCTGTCTGTAAGCTTCTTTCTTGTCCCTGCCCCCTCCCCCAGCTGTTTACTGCTGTCTGCTTCCTTCTCCATCCTCTTCCCTATGGGTGAGTTGGGCTTATGTCATCATGGTTCCCTGGTGGGCTGGTAGCTCAGCCACCACAGCTTAGGGAAGGAAGGGGTATGACTCATGCCCCAGTTCCGGTGAGTCAGGCAGGGTGGGCTGGACCAGGGGTTTCCTAGGACAGGAAGCACGTTCTAGGTGTGCTTTAACTTCTTCCTGGCAGGGCCCTGCCAGGAGAGGGCACCCATCCTTCTCCCATTCCCATTTATGTGACTCATTCAAGAACCCCTCTTGCCAAAGAAAATACCACCTCTTCTAAGCCTCAGAAGATTGTGTCTGGGTGGGGCCAAGACAGCCTCTTTGAGGAAGGAGATGGACAAACCACAGTTAGAGCAAAAGAGGATTAGAACTTCCCAGCTCAACCTCTCAGGTCCTGGGTTTCAGCCCAGCCAGGTTTCACAGCTGGGACAATTCCTTAGGAAGCAAGAGTATTTGCAATGCCCTGGAGCTGTGTAACCGTGAGCAAGTTATTTAACTGTGTGGAGCTTCAGTTTCCTTGACCAGAAAAATGAGATAATAAACTCACCTCATGCGGTTTTGCTATGTGTTAGATAAAACCTAGCAACTACTACTACAGGCCTAGCTTCAAAGGTGCCGAGCTGATGTTCGTTCTGAATCAGAATGGAAGCCCCACTGCTTTGGAGCTTCCTGGGAAGTCTAAAGGCCAGTTAGTGCAGAAGCCTAGAGTGGGCCGTTGGGCTGGCACACAGTGACCCAGTGAGTTTTCCTTGGGGCTGGGGAGTGGGAGTAGGGGTTGAGGGGAAGTAATATGTCTACTATAGACATGTGGAAGTGGTGCTGTGGCCAGAGCTCCAGGGCAGGGACTGGTCTGGGAGCCGGCTTCAGTCTGGTTCTGAAAGGCACCCCCCACCTTCCACAGTCTGGTTCAACTTCTTCCTCTCTGGAGACTTCTCTTCCCTTACAGGCTTCTGAGGGCCTTTCCCATGCCTGGTGAAGAGTCCTGACAGGGCCCTTCAAACTGGAGCACAAATAATGAATGTAGGCCAGCCCCATGACTCACACCTACAATCCCAGCATTTTGGAGGCTGAGGCAGGAGGACTGCCTGAGCCCAGGAGTTCAGGACTAGCCTGGGCAATATAGTGAGACCCTGTCTCTAGAAATAGAAATTTAAAAAAAAATTGTGTGACTGTATCTTAAGGATTGCTAGACAGAATCAGTACTGTTGTACTGATGTTTCCTTCTATTCCGGGGTTCAATAGGGCTGGGTAGAATATTGTCGTTGATCCTAGCTATTTAAAATGTTAGCATTTTGTTCATCGTGGATTTTTTGACATTAATTTTGATTTTTTAAAAAATATTGGCCAGGTGTGGTGGCTCATGCCTATAATTCCAGCACTTTGGGAGGCCGAGGTGGGTGGATCATGAGGTCAGGAGTTCAAGACCAGCCTGTCTAAGATGGTGAAACCCTGTAGGCACTAAAGAAAAATACAAAAATTAGCTGGGTGTGGTGGCAGGCACCTGTAATCCCAGCTACTAGGGAGGCTGAGGCAGAGAATTGCTTGAACCCGGGAGGTGAAGGTTGCAGTGAGCCGAGATCATGCCATTGCACTCCAGCCTGGGCAACAGCAAGATTCTGTCTAAAAAAAAAAAAAAAAAAAATTGCATTAAAATATTATTTTTCTAGGTCTTACATGGTGTCTTGTGCCTATAATCCCAGCACTTTGGGAAGCCCAGGCAGGAAGATTGCTTGAGGCCAGGAGTCAAGAGCAGCCTGGGCAACCTAGCAACACCCCTACAAACAATAAAAGTAAACCAGCCAGTCATGGTGGTGCCTGCCTGTAGTCCTAGCTCCTTGGGAAGCTGAGGCAAGAGGATCTTAAGCCTAGCGTTTAAGTCTGCAGTGAACTATGATCACACAACGGCACTCCAGCCTGGGTGACAGAGAAAGACCCTGTCTCAAAAAACAAAAAACAAACAAAACCTATCATCTATCTGTATATATAATGTATCTAGATAACTCCTTGGTGCCCCCTTAAATTTTGCCCTTAATGATGGAATTTTTGGCTTCACCTTTTTTGAGGGAGTGGGGTACAATCTTGGGGACAGGGGGCCCTGCTGACTGCGCCTGCCTCCCTAAAACTGTGACCTTCCTGTTACTGAGGGGTCTTCTCTGCCCCCATCAGAGGCCAGGATAAAGTTCCCAGCCCAGTTCCGGCTCATCCACTGTCCCACCTCCTACTTCCAATGAGCTCAGGAATGGCTCCAAATCCTGGAGTCCTTTCGGTTTTGTTAATTCGATAAGCGTTCCTCGAGGACAATCTGCTAAGTGCCCAGGAAGCACCTGGCGAGGACGCTGAGCAGAGACTGGATCAGTGGGGGGCGTGGGGCGCACCTGGATGGGGCGGGGCTGGTAGACTCTGTACATTGAGGACCAACCACGGACCCTGGAGCACCTTCGGGTGGAAACGTCACCTAAGAAATCCCGACCTGGTCTGACTTCCTGCCCCGGGGCCTCAGGCTTTGGACACGCGCCAGGGAGGCGTCGCCCGGCCGCGTCGGAGCCGCTTCCTGGGCGCCGTGGGCGCGGGCTGCGCCGGCTGCGCGGTTGCAGAGAAGCGCGAGGCGCGGGCACTGCGCACCTGGGGTGGCCCTGGCGCGTGGGCGGCGACATGGAGGACGGAGTGCTCAAGGAGGGCTTCCTGGTCAAGAGGGTGAGTGCATGTCCGAGCCTCGGGACATTGCCTGGGTGGGGCCCTGCCGGCGCGGCTGCCTTCAGCTGGGCCAGAGGCGCGCCCTGGGACGGGCTTGCCCTGGTCCCTATCCCCAACCCCTGTGGTGGGACTGGGCTGCTTGTGGCCCTGATGGGCAGAGCTGCATGTCTGAAAGGACGCAGGGTGAGCAGTGGTTGGACGTCCGCCCGGAGCAGGAGGAAAGCTTTAGACAGAAAAGAGGGGCCGTGCACAGTCGAGGACAAGAGTCCCACCTGGTCAGCGCAGTATAGAGTCTGGGCCGGGGTACCGAAGCGGGGGTCTTAATTACAACTTGTTAAAATGTTATGAATGGTATGGTATTTAAATAAGATTTACTTTAGTAAGAATATGGGCGCTTTTCATTTTTTAAATGAATGTGAATTTTCCAATTTTTTCTCAATAATCTTAAAATACACATGTTTATATATATTAAAAAAAAAGAAAAAGATTTACTAAGATAACATAGGCGTGCTCTGTAATTTACAACCTGTGAAGAAGGAGGAATGCTATGTGTCCTAAGCACCTACTGCTGGCCAGCCCTGGACATGGCCTCATTTCATCCTCCCAGCAGCCCTGTGGGGTCAGTGGTATCTCACTGACCCTCTTTCATCAAGGCGGAAAACGAAGCCCAGAGGAGTTAGGGAACTTGCTCAGGGTGGTGGAGGCAGAGGGTGGTGGAGGGTGGTGGGTGGTGGAGGCAGGATCCGGATCAGACCCACTCAGGTTGACCCAAAACTTTTCCTGCCTCCTGAGTGCCATGCAGGGTGGGTATTGACATCATTCTATTACAGATGGGGAAACAGGATCAGAAAGATGAACTAGCTTGCTGAGAGCTCCAGAGCCAATAATAGCCGGGACTGGAACTGTATGTTCTGACCTTCCCTCCTCAGTCCCTCCCCACCACCCCAGGTGGCCCAGGGCAAGCAAGAGTGCAAACAAAAATTTGGTGCCTGGGATTAAGGTAGAAGATGAACAAAAGAGCAACTGCAAGAGGAAGTTTGTTATTTCACATTTTTTTTCCTAATTTGACCTTTTTTTTTGAGACGGGGTCACCCAGGCTGGAATGCAGTGGCACAATGATGGCTCACCACAGCTTCAACTTCCCAGGCTTAGGTGATCCTCTCACCTCAGCTTCCCGAGTAGCTGGGACTATAGGTGCCCAGTACTATGCCCAGCTAATTTTTGTATTTTTTTTTGTAGAGAGAGGATTTCGCCATGTTTCCCAGGCAGGTCTGAACTCCCAGGGTTAAGTGGTCTGTTCACCTTAGCCTCCCAAAGTGCTGGGATAACAGGCGTGAGCCACCACACAGAGCATAATTTGAACAATGCCATTAACAGTAACCATCTATACTGCCACGATGGCATAGCAAATGGACATGCAAATCCAGAGCTGAGCTTTCTGGTTCTTCTACTGAGTTTTCAGCTGTGGAAGGGGAACAAAGAGGGATGAGGGACCCTTCCTTTCATCTCCTCCCTGGGTGACTGGATCAGCCCTAAAGTCTCAGATCACTTTCATTTTCCCCACAAAATGTGTCCACATGTGTTGCATGTTATTTGAGGAGAGCAGTGGCTGTTTGCTGGAAACAGTAAGCAAGGAGGGTAGAGGCTGATGCCAGATCAAGGGTCAGACTGGGTAGAGCAGTACAAAGTGCCACGCCCACTTCTTGCCACTGTGGCTGAACTGATAGGCCAGTTTCTCACAGCATGTGGAGGTGGCTGCATCTCAGAGAGACGACACATGGGGGCTTCTGTCGTCCTAATCTCACATTTAACTGAAGCTTGGGAGGTGGGAGGGAGAGGGAGAGCTGGGCATGGGGTTTTGGTTGGCACGGTTGATGGCTGGGCTGGGTAAAGGCTGTGGTGGGATGGAGTTAACATGGAGACTGATCTTTCTGATGTGGCTTTGGGAGTTTTGGGGGGCCTCCTCCTGTTCCTGGGGGTTAACTTCCATCATTCCCTATCACCCCCACCACGCTGAGAGTCAGAGGAGGGCTAAGGACAGAGCCACAGAGCTCCCAGGATGTCTCCAGGAGAAGGATGGGAGTTCTCTTTTGGGTGGCCTGGTTAGGTGCAGAAAATGAGGAGTCAACAGGTCTAGTCCCCATAAGCCCTTGGAAAAGATGGGGCTTGGCTGAAATACCTAGAGCTCATTCCAGCCAAATCTAGGGACTGGGATTTGGAGCCTGACCCTGAGGCAGAAGCCACACCCCTCCCTGCAGGGTGAGGATGTGGCCCCAGAACCCCTGTTGAGGTCCCAGCCTGCTGAGCAATCTCAACTTTTTCAACCCCCCATAACCCCTTTCCTCTTGGGTGACAACAGTAGTCCCTATGTCCACTGGAGAAGTTGCAGGCTTTGGCAGAGGGTTCCATAGTTTTAGGAGAGTTAAGAGCTCAGAGGTGGGGCAGGGCCTGAGCTGGAAGCCGGAGTGCAGAACAGTCATTACTGGTGAAGGTGAAACCACAGACAGGCAGGGGCACGATGGAGTTGGCTCTTAATCCTCTCAGACTAGAAAAAAGCAGAGCTCCAGGCAAAATACAGGGAGCTCATTGGGCTTGGCTCTCTGGGGAGCTGGGGGAAGGAAGTGGGGGATGAGCCATGGGCAGTAGTGCTTTTTCTGGGAGAAGAGGCAGAAGCACTGCCAGGTGTTCCTGCACGGCTCATATTGTGAATAACATTGCAATGTGAACATGCTCTGGCCTAGAAATTTTATGTGTAGGGCTCTATCTTTGCTGTAAAGTTCTATAAAAGCTTTATAACAGTTATTTTTATTCTATTTTATTTTATATTTTTGTAGAGATGAGGTCTCACTCTGTTGCCCAGGCTGTTTGGGTTTGCCTTCAAACTCCTAGCTCAAGCAATCCTTCGGCCTCGGCCTTCCAGATTGCTGAGATTAGAGGTGTGTCACCACATCCCACTGTTATTTATTTATTTTGTTTAGACAGGGTTTCACTCTGTTGCCCAGGTTGGAGTACAGTGGCATCAGCAGGGCTCACTGCAGCCTTGACCTCCAGGCTCAAGCAATCCCCCCATCTCAGCCTCCCTAGTAGCTGGGACTACAGGTCCATGTTACCACACCCAGATAATTTTTTGTTTTTTGCTTTAAAAAAAATTTTTTTTATAGAGACAGGGTCTCACCATGTTGCCCAGGCTGGTCTTGAACTCCTGGGCTCAAGCGATTCTCCCACTCTGGCCTCTCTAAGTGCTGGGATTACAGCCAACAAAGAGTCATTTATTTATGTGGTAAAAAAAACTGAAAACTACCTGTCTGTCCCCACCAAATGACTAATTAAATTATGGTTATACAGATGTTGAAAATGTTTATAGTATTAAAATCCAAAGAGTAAAATGATAAAATGTATGAGAAAAAATATGCATAGAAGAAAAAGACCAGAAGGAGTTCTGGAGGCTGGAAGTGCAAAGTCAAGGTGTTGCCAGGGTCACACTGCCTCTGAAACTTGTGGAAGAGGATCCTTACTTGCTCTTCTAGCTTCTGGTGTTTGCTGGCAACCCTTGGCATTCCCTGGCTTCTAAATACATCACTGCAACCACTGTCTCTGTTATCACATAACCATCCTCTCCCTATGTGTCTCTTAGTGTCCAAATTTTCCTCTTCCTATAAGGAAGACACTAGTCATGTTGGATTAGTGACCACTCCAGACTAGGGTGACTTCGTCTTAACTTGAGCATATCTGCAAAGACTCTGTTTCCAAATAGCATCACACTTACAGGTCCAGAGGTTAGCACTTCGACATATCTTTTTGAGGGGGATGTAATTCAACCTGTAGCAAGTACCATTCCATCTTTGTTTTTCTTTCTTTCTTTTGTTTCTTTTTAATTTTCTTTTCAGGAGATACTGTCTCACTCTGTCATCCAGGCTGGAGCACGGGGACTATTCACGGGTGATCATAGTGTATTGCAATGTTGAGCTCTTGTGCTCGAGTGAACTTCCTGCCTCAGCCTCCCAAGTAACTGGGACTACAAGTACACACCACTGGGCCCAATCAGCATTTCTGCTTTTCTCAGGGTTATACGGCCTTGGGCAAGACCTTTCTGGGCCTCTGTTTCCTTATCTTTAAAGTTAGGGGCTCTAAAAATCAAAACAATTGAACAGATGGACATAGAGAGTAGAAGGATGATTAACAGAGGCTGGGAAGGGTGGCGGGGGGCTGCGGGGAGGTGGGAATGGTTAATGGGAAAAAATTAGAAAGAATAAGACCTACTATTTGATAGCATAACAGGGAGACTATAGTCAATAATAACTTAATTGTACATTTTAAAATAACTAAAACAAAGTAGAATTGGATTGTTTGTAACGCAAAGGATAAAGGCTTGAGGGGACAGATACCCTACTCTCCATAACGTGATTATTATACAATGTATGCCTGTATGGAAACATCTCATACACCCCATAAATATATACACTTACTATGTACCCATGAAAATTAAAAACAAAGCATTTAAAGTAAAAAAATGCATCAATACCCCTTGCATGGAATTGACAGAAACTTCCTTAAGTGGAAGGGACTCTGGGAAATGTAACATTTCATCCAGGAAAAGATAACATCTCTGTATTTGTTTTTGTTGTTGCTGTTGTTGTTTTTGAGATGGAGTCTCCCTCTGTCACCCAGGCTGGAGTGCAGTGGCACCATCATCTTGGCTCACTGCAACCTCTGCCTCCTGGGTTCAAGTGATTCTTTTGCCTCAGCCTCCTGAGTAGCTGGGATTACAGGTGCATGCCACCACACCCAGCTAATTTTTATATTTTTGGTAGAGACAGGGTTTCACCATGTTGGCTAGACTGGTATCAAACTCCTGACCTCAGGTGATCCACCCATCTCGGCCTCTCAAAATGTTGAGATTGTAGGTGTGAGCCACCGTGCCTGGCCTGTATTTGTGTTTTCTGCCCAATATCTGTTGGTTGCATTTTTCTCCTCTTATATCATATCTCCTTCCTTTCCCTACCATATTAGTTTGCAAGGGCCGCTATAACTAAATATCACAGAATAGGTGGCTTAAACAACTGAGATTTATTTCTCATGGTTCTGCATGTTAGACGTCCGATAACAAGGTACCAGCAGTTTGGTTTTTTCTGAGGCCTCTCTCTCCTTGGCTTGCAGATGGCACCTAATGACTGTGTCCTCACTGGTCTTTCCTCTGTTTGACTGCTCTGTGTGTCTAAATCTCCTCTTCTTTTTAAAATTATTGTTACTGTTGTTTTAGAGACAGGGACTCACTCTGTTGCCCAGGCTGGAGTATAGTGGCATAATCGTGGTTTATTGTAGCCTTAACCTCCTGGGCCCAAGCAATTCTCCCACCTCAGCCTCTCAAGTAGCTAGGACTACAGGCACGTGCCACCATGCCTGGCTAATTTTTATTTATTATTATTATTTTATTAATAGACATGGAGTCTCACTATGCTGCTCAGGCTGATCTGAAACTCCTGGGCTCAAGCAATCCTTCTGCCTCAGCCCCCCAACTTGCTGAGATTACAGGCATGAGCCACCACACCCAATCCAAATCTCCTCTTCTTATAAGATGCTAGACAGATTGGATTAGAGCCTATCCTAATGACCCCATTTTAATTTAATTCCCTCTTTAAAGGGGATGTATTTCCAAATACATTCCTAGTCTCAGTCACTGGGGCTAGGCATTCAACATACGAATTTTGGAGGCACACATTTCAGCCCATACCACTTTTTTTTTTTTTGGGGGACGGAGTTTCGCTCTTGTTACCCATGCTGGAGTGCAATGGCGCGCTCTCGGCTCACCGCAACCTCCGCCTCCTGGGTTCAGGCAATTCTCCTGCCTCAGCCTCCTGAGTAGCTGGGATTACAGGCACACGCCACCATGCCCAGCTAATTTTTTGTATTTTTAGTAGAGACGGGGTTTCACCGTGTTGACCAGGATGGTCTTGATCTCTTGACCTCATGATCCACCCGCCTCAGCCTCCCAAAGTGCTGGGATTACAGGCGTGAGCCACCGCGCCCGGCCACCACTTTTTTTTTTAAGAGGCGAAGTCTCATTCTGTCACCTAGGTTGGAGTGCTGTGTGATCATAGCTTGCTGCAGCCTCAAAGTCCTGGGCTTAAATGATTGTCCCTCCTCAGCCTCCCAAGTAGCTGGGACTACAAATGTATGCCACTATGCCCAGCTACTTTTTAAATTTTTCTGTAGAGATGACATTTCACTGTGTTGCCCAGGCTAGTCTCAAACTCTTGGCCTCAGGTGATCCTCCCACCTTGGCCTCCCAAAATGCTGGGATTACAGGCATGAACCACCATGCTCAGGCCTAAGATTCTTTTGCCCTCTCCTCCCCTCCACCTCCCACCAGTCCCCATACCATGAACTTCGATTGCATTCTCCTCTCCCTATAGCTAAAGCCTTGGGGGCCAGCAGTTTACTGCCTTGGATTCAGAAGCACCCAGATGCCCCAGACCAGTCCTGCTAGTGCTGCCCCAGGACTCCCACAGTTGGGAGAGGTCATAGGAAAGGGACCTGAAGCTGGGCTATGTGCAGAGCAGTAGAGAACCCCAGTAGCTGAGAAGTCAAAGACAAACATTTTCTGTTTCTTTAAACATGTCTGCTTGTGTCAGGTAAAACTGTCAATGGCCATACTACATGTGGATGTAAGTAGGGAACAAAGCGAAGAGCAAAAATGTGCAATTCCGCTAGACTGTGTGAGCCCTCTCCTGGGAACGGAGTGGTCATTGTGTAGTGTAATAACACTGAGACATGTTAATAAACTCTTGTCAGATTAGCTATGTTATGTCTTATTTCGTTGTCACAGTAAATTCTGTTTGGGCTCAGGTCAGTGCTCACAAAGCTCTGTTATATGCACAAATAACTTTGGTGCAGACAATTCCCTCTACAACTTTTGGTTTTCTAACAGTTCTCAGTACGTGCTGCATGTAGAATAGAATCATAGCACCAGAGATTGGCCTTTGATATGAATCAGTGCTAGGCAAGGAAATGAGTGAGTTGGGGCAATGGACTTTGATTCAGATAAAGCACTTCTCTCGGTTAGAACCTAGCCCTAAGTTGGGCTTTGGAAATATGCCAGGAAGGGGCTTTCATGATTGTGTACTAAACTCATTCCTTTCTGATCCCTCAGCAGACATTTCCTCATCCACTAATCTGCTCTAGAAATAGTCAGGCTCTCCGTGTTCACCTGGCTATTCTGTCCATTGGCTCTATGACCCACCTGAGAACCACCTAAACTACCAGGGTCTTTATGCCTGCCACACCTGGCTAGGTAAAACTGTTAGAGTCCTTAGCACTGGGAGACTATAAGTGGCCTCATAATGCCCTTATCCTTTGACTAGTAATATTCTTTCTAGGAAAATATCCAAAGGTTAAAAAATACCAGATGCAGGTCAAAATTTATGTGCAAGGATATTCATTACAGAATAGTGAAAAAAATATGAAACAACCTCAGTTACAAACAATAGAAGTTGGCAAGTAAACTACATACCCACATGATGGTCATTAAAAAATATGTTTTACTTGGCCGGGCACGGTGGCTCAAGCCTGTAATTCCAGCACTTTGGGAGGCCGAGGCGGGTGGATCACGAGGTCAACAGATCGAGACCATCCTGGTCAACATGGTGAAACCCCGTCTCTACTAAAATTACAAAAAATTAGCTGGGCATGGTGGCGTGTGCCTGTAATCCCAGCTACTCAGGAGGCTGAGGCAGGAGAATTGCCTGAACCCAGGAGGCGGAGGTTGCGGTGAGCCGAGATCGCGCCATTGCACTCCAGTCCAAGTAAAAAAAGACCCCGCCTAACAAAAAAAAAAAAAATAAATATATATATATATATATATATATATATATGTTTTACAGAAATTTAATGTTTTGAGAAGATGCTCAGCGAGGCCAAAGGAAACAGGGACTGGGCATGGTATCTCATGCGTGTAATCCTAGCACTTTGGGAGGCCAAAGTGAGAGGATTGCACGAGCCTAGGAGTTTAAGACCAGCCTGGGGAATATAGTGAGACCTCGTCTCTACAGAAAACCGGGTGTGGTGTAACACACCTGGAGTCCCAGCCACTTGGGAGGCTGAGGTGGGAGGACCCCTTGACTCCAGGAGGCAGAGGCTGCAGTGAGCTGAGGTCATACCACTGTACTCCAGCCTGTCTCTTTTGAGACCCTGTCTAAAAACAAAAACAGAAAACTAGAAAATAAAAGTATATGTAAAATAATTGTAATTTTTTTTAAAAAAAGCCAGAGTGCAAAAACTAAAAATAAAAAAGACTAGAAGGAAATAGAATATGTTAGCAATGGCTATCTGCTAGAAGTAGGATTACTCAGGTTAGTGATTTTTCTCTTCTTTTTAGTTTATAGTTTCTTTCAAGGTTTATAACCAGAGAAATGGCCAAATGGGAACTAGAAGGTCAGTGCCAAAGGTCTTTGCTACATACTCAGAAGAGATCCAGACACAAATCCTGCCATCTCCCTTGTTGGAGAGTTGTTTCCATGGCACAGTCTGGTTACCTGTGCCACCAGACACCTCTCTCTGAACACCATCCCCTCCCCTCAGCCACCTCACCTCAGGGCTTTCTCGTCTGTCCATAGGGCCACATTGTCCACAACTGGAAGGCGCGATGGTTCATCCTTCGGCAGAACACGCTGGTGTACTACAAGCTTGAGGGGGGTCGGAGAGTGAACCCTCCCAAGGGCCGGATCCTCCTGGATGGCTGCACCATCACCTGCCCCTGCCTGGACTATGAAAACCGACCAGTAAGTGAAGGTCCCTGCTGTCCAGTTCCTCCTTGCCCCAGACCCTTCCCACTTCTGACTTCTTTGGGAAACTGGTATGGGTAAGATGAAGAGCTCAGAGTTAGAACTGGAAAACTTGGATTCAAATCCTGGCTATGCCACATACCAGGTATGTGAGCTTGGACAAGTAGCTAAACTTCTCTGAGCCTTTGTTCCTCATCTGTAAAATGGGATGAAATAATTACCCCTGAGTGTCTCATGTGGTTGTGGTGAGGACCTTGAATGTCATGGTGTATTAGAGCACAGTGTGGGCTGGGAGGCGAGCGCCACACAAATCTGAGTAATTACTGCTATCTTGGGGCTCACTATGATGGCTTTCATCCCCTGAGGGGCCTGCATTCCATAACTAAGGGGTGGCTTCAAGCCTACCGTTAAAAAAGTCTAGGCTGGGTGTGGTGGCTCACGCTTGTAACTTTGGGAGGCTGAGATGGGTGGATTGCTCCAGGTGAGGCATTTGAGACCAGCCTGGCCAACATGGTAAAACCGTGTCTCTACTAAAAATACAAAAATTAGCTGAATGTTGTGGCAGGGGCCTGTAATCCCAGCTACTCAGGAGGCTCAGGCAGGAAAATTGCTTGAGGCCTGGGAGCCAGAGGTTGCAGTGAGCCAAGATCACACCACTACACTGCAGCCTGGGTGACAGAACAAGACTTAGTTTCAAAAAAAAAAATGTCTAACAATGAATCATTTATCAAGGGCCCATTATGTGCCAAGAAATTTGCAAGGCATGGAGAAATCGAGGAAGAAAATGCCAAGACTTTTGTTGGGAAAGCAAGTGGTTAATTGAAAAACATTTGGCATTCCAAAGATGACACAGCTATCAAGAGCTGCAGAGAACTCTATCTCTGAAGAGGAAAAAGATATTTCAGGCTGGGTCAGGCAAAGCTTCAAGGAGAGAGGCAGTCATTTCGAACAGGTAGAATATCTTGAGTAAAAGTAAGAAGACTATACCTGGAGAGAGGTGGGTGTGGCTTCTGGGGAGAAGGGCCTCCAGTGTGGTCAAGGGGAAACCTTCACGAAAGGAGTGATAGGAGCTTGGTTTGGGCCAGATGAAAGTAAATGGAGAGCCGTTGAAGATTTTGAGTGAGAGAATGGTCTGATGAAAACTCTCTTAGAGACCGGATGCGGTGGCTCACGCCTATAATCCCAGGACTTTGGGAGGCTGAGATAGGCAGATTATTTGAGATCAGGAGTTCAAGACCAGCCTGGCCAACATGGTGAAACCTCTTCTATGCTAAAAATACAAAAATTAGCTGGGCATGGTGGCGGGCCCCTGTAGTCCTAGCTACTCCAGAGGCTGAGGCAGGAGAATTACTAGAACCCAGGAGGTGGAGGTCGCAGTGAGCCAAGATTGTGCCATTGCACTCCAGCCTGGGTGACAGAGCGAGACTGTCTCAAAAAAAAGAAAACTCTCTTAGAAAGATCTTAGAAAGACTAAAATGAGGCCAACGCAGTGGCTCATGCCTGTAATCCCAGCACTTTGGGAGGCCGAGGTGGGCGGATCATGAGGTCAGGATCATGCCCAGGAGTTCAAGACCACCCTGGGCAACACGGTGAAACCTAGTCTCTACTAAAAAATACAAAAATTAGTGAGGCGTGGTGGCACACTCCTGTAATCCCAGCTACTTGGGAGGCTAAGGCAAGAGAATCACTTGAACCTGGGAAGCGGAGGTTGCAATGAGCTGAGATTGTGCCACTGCACTCCAGCCTGGGTGACAGAGTGACACTCTGTCTCAAAAACAAACAAAAACCAAAAAACAAAGTGACCTGGCTGGAAAGAAGCTGAAACTGTATCGCATGAGAAATGTGTGAAAGACTTGATGCTTAGACACAAGAAGAGAAGACGGAAGGGAGCATGACTAGCAGTCCACCCGAGGTAGCACTAATATCCTGTCATTTCCTAATGTGCCAGGTGTCCACAGCCAAGTGGCAGAGCTGGGGTTTGTGTTCAGATGGGTCTGACTTTAAAGCCTGGGCATTTCCCTCTTCATTGTAGGGGCTGCATAGGAGGTGAGTCTTCATCTGTGTGGTTCTAGGAGAGAGAACAGAACCAGCGTGTCCAGGAGGCAGTCCCTACACTAACTACCTTGTCTACAAGGGGAAGGCGGCCATGTGAGGCCATAAGCTTCCTGTCACTGGAGGTGTCCAAGTGAATCCTTAAAGACCACCTGCTGTGTGGCCGAGGGCTCAGGGCATTTGGCAGTCACCGTCTCCCAGATTCTCCCAGGGCCCCATCACTTTTGCTGCCCGGCATCCTCTTGCTCTGCCTGAGTGCTGGCCTAACTGGCTGTCTCTTCCCACAGCTCCTCATTAAGCTGAAGACTCAAACGTCCACAGAGTACTTCCTGGAGGCCAGTTCTCGAGAGGAGCGGGACGCCTGGGCCTTTGAGATAACCGGGGCTATTCATGCAGGGCAGCCGGGGAAGGTCCAGCAGCTGCACAGCCTGAGAAACTCCTTCAAGCTGCCCCCACACATCAGCTTGCAGTGAGTTCCCCGTCTGCCAGGCTCTGCACAGCCTCTCCTGCTTGTGTGCAGTGGGCAGGGGGCCCAGCCCCTTGAGTGGGGTGGGGGCTCTCTGCTTGCTGCACAGTCTGGCTAATGCTACCATCGTGCTTCATCGTCCCTGTCCTGTGCATATTGTTTTCTCTCCTTGGAAGTGGCCTTACCCACCTGCCCCATTCCTATGAAATCTCTCCAGGTTCCTGCCTCCTCTGCACACTTCCATGACACAAGACCCCCATTCCGTTTCAGCCAGGATGCTCAGGGCTGTGTCACAGCTCCCCCAAAGTCTTCTTAGTCTGTTTTCTGTTACTTTATAACAGAACACCTGAAATTGGGTGACTCATAAGGAGGAATTTATTTCTTATCGTTATAGAGGCTGAGAAGTCCAAGGCTGAGAGGCTGCATCTGGTGAGGGCCTTCTTGCTGGTGGGAGCTCTCTGTGGAGTCCCGAGGCAGTGCAGGGCATCACACAGTGAGAGGGCTGAGCATGCTAACATGCTTGCTTCGGTCCCTCTTCCTCTTTTTTTTTTTTGAGACGGAGTTTCACTCACGTTACCCAGGCTGGAGTGCAATGGCGCGATCTCAGCTCACCGCAACCTCCGCCTCCTGGGTTCAGGCAATTCTCCTGCCTCAGCCTCCTGAGTAGCCGGGATTACAGGCACGCACCACCATGCCCAGCTAATTTTTTGTATTTTTAGTAGAGACGGGGTTTCACCATGTTGACCAGGATGGTCTCGATCTGTTGACCTCGTGATCCACCCGCCTCGGCCTCCCAAAGTGCTGGGATTACAGGCTTGAGCCACCGCGCCCGGCCCCCTCTTCCTCTTATAAAGCCACCAGTCCCATTCCCATGATAATTCATTAGCTCATTTAACCCATTAACCCATGAATGGATTAATCCATTCACAAGGGCAGAGCCCCCATGACCCAATCACCTCTTAAAGGCATCACCTCTCAATATTGCCACATTGGAGATTTTCAACATGAGTTTTGGGATAAACATTCAAACCACAGTAAATCTCCACCAACCTCCCAGGCAACAGAACTGTTACACCCATCAAAGATGTATGAGTCAATTTCTGGGTTCACAAAAACTCCTTACCAGGGGAGTCTTTGAAACCTTGACTGTATACCTCCTATGAGTCTAGAGAGCTGCTAAACACTGTTGGGTGCAGGGAGGAGCAGCTGCAGATAAGGGTGGGTAGGCAGGTGGGTCCAAAGATAGTTCAAAAAGTAGCTGATGGGGGGTTGGACTTAATGCAGGAGATCACAGAGAATCATATGGGCTACTGTGTACTCTTGGAGTTTTTTGCTTTTCTTTTTTTGGGACAGGGTCTCACTCTGTCGCCCAGGCCAGAGTGCAGTGGAGTGATCATAGCTCACTGCAGCCTTGACCTCCCGGGCTCAAGTGATCCTTCCACCTCAGTATCCCGAAGCACTGGGATGACAGGTGTGAGCCACTGTGCCCAGCATACACTCTTGTTTGTAAGTTCAAAGTCACACCTCTTTGGTTTTACTAGAAAAGCAGTGTGTCTGGCATACAAATATTAGAACATTTAGAGAAGCAAGAAGAATTGTCTAAAAATCCTGCCTCTCAAATTTTGATGCATAACTGAACACCCCATTCTGTGGTGAGGAGGTGTAAACAAACCTACCTGCAAAGACCAAGGGAGCTGAGAGGCAGAAGAAAGAGGCTGACAAATCCAGTTTCTCAGAAAGAGGCATTTAACAGGGAATTACAAACAGAAGTGATGTATCTGCTGGCCAAGGGACAGTGAATCACCACACTCATCCTTCAGAAAATATCCTTTATATAGCAAGCTTTTTTGGGAAAATGTGCAGTTAGTCGTGCCTCAGACTTTCTTGTGAAACTTGCGACCACTGGGGACGTTAGATAAACATCTTTATGAGGGGCGATCTATGTTATGGGAGTACTGTGGTGTGCAGGAGTCAAACATCCATCATCGGCCTGGGCACAGTGGCTTACACCTATAATCCTAGCACTTTGGGAGACAGGGATGGGTGGATCACTTGAGGTCAGAAGTTTGAGACCAGACTGGCCAACATGGTGAAACCCTGTCTCTACTAAAAATACACAAATTAGCCGGGCATGGCGGCACACGCCTGAAATCCCAGCTGCTTCGGAGGCTGAGGCAAGAGAATGACTTGAGCTCAAGAGGCGGAGGTTGCAGTGAGACGAGATCATGCCACTGCATCCCAGCCTGGGTGACAGAGTGAGACTCTGTCTCAAAAAATAAACAAACAAAAAGCAACACAAAATCAGTCATCATGGTGGCTTCTCTTCAAGATTGTATCACTCTTTCCATGCAAAAGGCTACTTTCCTACACCCCCTTTCTTTGTGATGTGTGTCACACCATTTGCCACTTGCTTTATACCCTTAGCAGTGACTCTGGACCTTCCCTTGTACCTGACAGTATGATGAGAGTTCCCTCTCCTTTGCCTTCCCTTCCATGTAGTCAAATTGTGGACAAGATGCACAACAGCAGCAGCGGAATCCGTTCAAGCCCCAACATGGAGCAGGGAAGCACCTACAAAAAGACCTTCCTTGGTGAGCCAGTCCCCCAGAGCTGGGCTGGGCACTCAACCTGGGACATGGTGATGCAGGGCTCAGCCGTGTGCTTGCCTGAGATGGCCATGTGTGGGTGTGCAGCCACGGCTCTGTGCAGCAGGTATGGCCTTCAGTTTGCTCTTGGGTAGAGCTCTACGAGGCTGCCCAGAGGGCCAAGGTCAGTGAGGTCATTGGCCAGATACCCCAAGGACGCTGGTCCGTTGCCTGCCACCTGACTGGTGCTGCTCTTGGCCAGGTTCCTCCCTGGTGGACTGGCTTATTTCCAACAGCTTTGCGGCCAGCCGTCTGGAGGGGGTGACCCTGGCCTCCATGCTCATGGAGGAGAACTTCCTCAGCCCGGTGGGTGTCCGGAGCATGGGAGCCATTCGCTCTGGGGACCTGGCCGAGCAGTTCTTGGATGACTCCACGGCCCTGTATACTTTCGTAAGTTAGGGAGTGGGTTCTTGCCACCAGGGCAAAGGCTAAGGAATACAAAACAGAGTGGGGTCCTGGGGTCCACAGTCACCGGAGGAGGCCTTGGGCTTGGGAGATGACTTCATCCTGATGCAGAATGGGGATTCTGTTCTGAGGAATTCCATTTCCCCTCTGACAGCCCCCATAGCCTGGGCCTGGGTCTTTTCTGTAGCACAGTCCTCCCTCCCTCCTTCCCCCTAGGCTGAGAGCTACAAAAAGAAGATAAGCCCTAAGGAAGAAATCAGCCTGAGCACTGTGGAGCTAAGTGGCATGGTGGTGAAACAAGGCTACCTGGCCAAGCAGGTATGGCTGCTTTGGAGCACAGAAGAAAGATGAACAGTTCTCAAGCTCAAGGGAGGCATCAGTGAGCCCAGAGGAAGGGAAGGGCTGAGGCTGCTGGAGGGCACCAATTACAACAGAATCTACGAAGGCAGGAGCCTAGCACCAGCCAACAGAAGCAAGTCAAAGAATGGGCACATGTCACGCTCACACATGTGTGCCAGACACAAGGGCTGTTTGGGAAAAATGTACTATATACACACAGAATTATCACAACATCAAAAAACAACTTCTACAGAAGTGCCTGGCTTCACATATTTGTCTTGGAGGCTTTGCTGACTGGTTTGAGGTTTTGCATGTGCTGGCCTTCTGTTCCTTGGGGCATCCTGGGGTCTCTGCCTTCCCTTGTGAGATTCTGCACATCCCCTTGATACACTTTCTGAGCTAAAAACAATTTTGTCCACCATGTCAGTAGGTTGAAGATCAGACTGCACTGTAAGGCCCAGGGTTCAAAGCCTGACCATGGCCACTACTCTTAAACCGTGTTTGGGAGAGCAGCTGTGTTGAACTGGAGGCAAGCCATGTCTTGCAGCATTCCTGCCTGTGCCTAACAAAAAGGGTATTCAGTGAACAAAATCACCTGTCCTTGGCACAGGAAGTGTGGCAGACATTTTGCACCACCTTGTGTTTGTGCACATGTTGTGTACCATATGAATGTGTGTGTCTGCACAGAGGGCATGTACACGGCTCAGCATCGCTCCCACTGTTGCTTGGAGCATGTGCTGTTGCTGTCACCTGCTTCTTGCATATCAGGATCCTCATCTTCTCTTAGATTCTTACCATCCCACCGCGGCCTGTCTACGCCAAGGCCCTGCTTCTGCTGGGCCTGATGGGAGTCCTTCCTGAGGGAGTGTGAGGAGGGTGTGGGAGGGACTCTGAGGTTGTTCCTGACTAGGAGGGCTAAGGTTCATGAGCTAACCTTAGTTCACCTGGTCAGTGAGGCCAAAGAAAGTCACACACACGCACACACACACGTCAGCTTCTTACACATTTAGATTTTATCATATAATTGAGCATTTTTTTTCCTAATGCACAATGTGAAAGTGGTTTTACTGCACATGTGGTGCACATGCAGACTGCACAAATATACATGCAGCTGCAGGTTTGTTTTTGGACTTACTTGGCCCTTAGCTGGTGCCCCTGGGTTCAAGTTTACCTGTGCGCTCCCAGCCCAGCTGATACCTGCTGCCTCCCTGTCCTCTTTTATGCCCTGAGTGGTATGTGTCCCCTATCCTTCTGCACGGACCCTCTTTGGCTCTATTGACTTGACTTAAGGTGATGGCGTTTTTGCTAGTGTCACTGAGTGAAGGTGTTGGCAGGGAAGTCTGTGACATGTCATTGCTAACCTTGGGTTTCCTGCTGACTGGTCTTAGAATGTAGTCCCATTGGAGTGGGCTGGCTTGCTGGGGGTTTGGCATTACATGTATAGACGTAGGAGAGAGGGACATACAGCTATCACCAATGAGCTTTGAACCCTTTCTTTGCCTCAGGGGCACAAGAGGAAAAACTGGAAGGTTCGTCGCTTTGTTCTGAGGAAGGATCCAGCTTTCCTGCATTACTACGACCCTTCCAAAGTGAGTATGCATGCTGGCTCCATGCTGGTCCCATATTGTGATGCCCCCAGACACTCCTCTTCTGGCACAGCAGGCAGCTGGCTGGACATCCTGCCTCCCCATGGCACGCAGCATAACTTGCGCTGCACCAGGCCTTTGCTCCCACTGTCCAAACTGCTCTGCCCTGTCATCACATAGGTGCCTGATTCTTGAACGGTTACTTCTATGCCTAATCCCCCACTTCTCATGAGAGGGCATATTTATCATTTTCAAAGAAAAGCATCTTTTGATCTTCCCCAAAGCCTGCTTTGTGAATAGGGAGGATGAGGTAGGCTGACAGAGACTCCCACTGGCACTTCCCAGCCTCTCCATACTTTCCATTCAAAGATCCTATTAATTCTGCCTCCCTCCACTTTTCCCCACCTATGTTTTAAAAAGTTTCTTTCATCATATATTTAAGCCATAATTTGCTAATTTGCTTTTTAAAAAACTTTGATGGCAGTTTTTTTTAAAAAAAATTTTTCTGTTTCTGATACTAGGTATTGCTACATGCTGAGTGGATCTAATTCCAGTCAAAAGAAAAGAAAAAGGGCCCTTTAGTTAGCTGTTCAGCCTTGTCTTGGGAGATGCATGACTTTTATTAGTTTTGCCGAAACAGTGAAGAGTGGGCAGTTCTTTCCTCACTGAGCTTCAGTCAGGAACTCCTACCCTAAGCTGAGAGCAGCTGAAGGAACCCTGCCAGGACCCTTCCAGGCCACAGGGGGGCCCAGGGCCAGGGAGGGATGTGGCAGGAGGAGCCTCCAGAAAGCTCCGGTTGACCTCTCTGTGGGTCATGGTGGCCTGGCTACAGGATGGAGTTCAAACTCCTTCCTTCCTGGCTACCTCAAATCCTGTTTGAAGCAAGAAAAAAAAATAAATGAAAAAACACTTTAGTTTTGTATTTAACTCTTACCACGGTCCAGCCTAACCTACTTTCTTTGTGCCCTTGATGAGTCTGCTGTCTCAGCTTTTAAAATAGGAAACTGAGAAAATATATATACACATATGTGCCTATATACACATATCTGTAAGTACATATACATGTAAATATATGTATATACATATATATGTGCACATGCACAAATGCTCACATACGTACGCAGATGGAAACAGTGCAGAAAAGATTACTCAAGACAAGTGTGAAAAGGAAATAAAAGAATTGTCAAATTTCAGGGCTGCATGTACAAGATAAGGAACCATCTCAAAAGTATTCTGCAGTTAATTTCTTCCCCACTTTACTCCCATTCCTCCTCCTGTTTGGGTTGAATGCCCCTCTCCTGTCCTGGGGACCTGTCCTATGCAGGCCGAATTCATACCTCCTATCCTCCCTGAGACTGCCCTTGAACCCTCCAGGCTGGGGAAGGTCCCTTGCTTCTCTGAACTTTTCTCCCATTGGCATTTAATAGTAAAAATATTTCCAGTATTTTATTTATCCATTTTATTTTTTGCCCTACCTCTTGCTGGGCCCAACATGCAGTATGAAGTTGACTATTGATTAATTGAAGGGTTCCTGGGGCCTGAGGCACGTGCTGTGTAAAATTGCCTTGAATCGTCCAGGGATACCACAAATCACTGTTTTGTATCACAGAGTTTCATGCTATGCACATGTTAGATCTGTCTGACAATGTCCAATGTGCAGGAATCTATCAACTTTGCAGAAATGATTATTATAGCTGGGTGTGGTGGCTCATGCCTGTAATCCCAGCAATTTGGGAGGCTGAGGAGGGCAGATCCCTGGAGGTCAGGAGTTCGAGACCAGCCTGGCCAAAGTGGTGAAATCCTGTCTCTACTAAAAATACAAAGGCAGCTGTGGTGGCATGTGCATGTAATTTCAGCTCCTCGGGAGGGTGAGGCCAGAGAATCGCTTGAACCTGGGAGGCAGAGGTTGTAGTAAGCTGAGATCGTGCCACTGCACTCCAGCCTAAGTGACAGTGAGGCTCCATCTCAAAATAATAAAAAAAATAATAAATTACTATAAATACATATTTCTAATTGGTTTGTAAGATGCACACATGGGTTAAGAAGCCAGTGAATGCTTTTCCGGGTAGCATGTTGGATCAGAGGCTTTGAGATATCTCCAGGAATGAAAAGCAGATTTGCAAGTCTCCAAGACTGGTAACTGCAACATTGGTGGGAACTACTGCTATGGGCTGTGAAATGAAGAGGCCCAAGCTTCCTTACTGATGCATGCAGCTTTGACCACCACATGATGTCCAAGTTCAGCTTCATCTTTTATTATAAATGATTTGTGCTGAGTTCTTTAGCTGGCCTGAGTTGTAGGGGGAGTACAACTCTTTCCTTCTGTGCACTCACAGATTCCTAACTGGGTCTCCTTTCCTCTGCAGGAAGAGAACAGGCCAGTGGGTGGGTTTTCTCTGCGTGGTTCACTTGTGTCTGCTCTGGAGGATAATGGCGTTCCCACTGGTAAGGTGTAACTTCAGCCCCAGCCTGAAGATCTCAGGGGCCTCCCTCCTGCACCTCAATAATGCCTTACTGATGAAACAACAGCTTTGGGAGCTAAGCAGGGCTTTCTCAATGAGACAGAGTGGTGTGAGTTTTGAGGCAAATTTCAGAATTGAACAAAGGGTATGTTCTTGGTGTTTTTAAGAATACAGTTAAGTAATCCTTACGTTAATAATCTTTGCCCTCAGTTTCTGTGCTGATGGCCCACAAGCTTCTGCCTAAAAATAATAGCTGAGGCTTATATAGGGTTTTAGGATTAACAATATACTTTAATATCTATCATAACACTAATTTCACAATAGCCAGCCATAGTAAGAAGATATTATTCCCATCTTACGGCTGTGGAATTGGGGTTCCAAAAAGTTATACAATTTGAGATCAAACTCCAAATTCTGTGCTTGCTTTTAACATAAACATACTGGAATCTTTGGTGTAAACGAAGTGGTAGATCTATGGCATGCTACCATCTTGAGCATAGGAGCAGGCAAGGGCTACCAGGAATATCCAGACATAGCCATTGGCAGGCCTTAGGACACTGGTGAGGGACAGGAAATGGGAGGAAAGGGAATATCATCTGATGGGATTCTCTAACTCTATACCTTTTATTTAAGAAATACATCATTGTATGGTTTTGTCCATGTCTCAGATGACTTTCTGCTGGTTCATTGTGAAAGCAGACATCCTACTCAATCACTAATTTTTTTTTTTCTTTTATTTTGCCTAGGGGTTAAAGGGAATGTCCAGGGAAACCTCTTCAAAGTGATTACTAAGGATGACAAACACTATTACATTCAGGCCAGCAGCAAGGTTGAGCGAGTCGAGTGGATTGAAGCTATCAAAAAACTAACATGACAAGGACCTGAGGGAACCAGGATTCTTCCCTCCTACCAGATGACACAGACAGGATTTCCTGGAGAATGGGAGTGTGTTTTAAGACTTTTGACTTTGTACGTTTTGTACTTCTTTGGAGGGTGAATGCTGAAGAGTTCCTCAGATTATAAACAGCAGTGGTACCATTTCCTTCCCCATCTTTATGTTACCAACCTGGAAAGGCTAGAACAGCCGTTAGGTGTCAGCATCTTGAGTTTTGCCCAGCATCACAAACGGCCATTCCCTTGGGCACTAAAATAGGTTCTCTTTGTTGGAACAATTACATTGGCCATGCCATAATGCTGAATAAAACTCTTCTTATGCAGTTCTCTCTTAATTTCTTTGGAATTAGTAAAAACTGACTTTTGTTTCTGGTTATTAGGATCCTATACAAAGTTTTATAGTTTTCAAGCATCTCTGTCCCTAAGACATACTTCATCTTAAAGTGGGGATGGTGGCAAAACTTTGAACATTCAGAGAATATTGTTTTGCTTTGGAAAACAAGCCTGCATAAATATTATACATTACAGAAGTCATGGACTCTGTCAGAGAGAACTTAATCACATATACAAAAAATACATACATAGCTTTTCCGTGAAAAATGGGCATTTAGAGATGGAGAGTAAGAGTGTGCTAAAGGACAGAGAAAGATGTAAATGGGAAGACTTAAATCAAGGCATTGAATTTTGGTTTTAAAATGAACATTAGCTGAGACAAATGGTACCAAGAAATTTCACCAGTTGGGAGGTTAATCTATAGTGAAAAGTCTGTATCATACAATACTTTTAAAGAACATTTTTATTACTTTCAAGTTTGTACAGTATGTGGCACAAGCTATTGCCAGCATTCTTGCCAAGTACAAATGCTTGGACTTCCCCTTAATCAACAGATAAAATACATAACTTACATTTAAGGGGAGTGGATTACTTCAAAGTGCTTAAGTAAAAATTTGTCCTCTTACTTTCAACTGTCTCTTGTTAATTGTGTCTAAAATACTGACCTGAATGAGAAATCCCAAGCTAATGTTTTATTTATTCCTTATATGGTAAGAGCCTACCTTTTAAAAACTCTCTAGCCATTTTGCTCTTGGTGTAAAAGTAGAATGGCTGGAGTATGGCAGCTGAGGAATGTTCTGCTTAGCATGATGCAATGCTTAGCAGGTCTCTCTGGGTCCGTCTTTGACATTATCCACTTCAGAACTGGTTTGTCTTGTTTTGCTATAAAACTAATATGAAAAATGGTTTGGGCGGGGCATGCTGGCTCACACTTTCATGGAGGTAGAGGTGGGAGGATAGCTTGAGCCCAGGATTTCGAGACCTGCCCAGGCAATGTAACATCACCATTTACCAGGAAAAAAAAAAGTAAAAGAAGTGGTTTCAATGTTCAATTTCCTCCTGGCCATTGATTTTCAATTAACTTATGCATAAACAAGACCCAAACTATTGATAATTTTCAGCTATGAGTTGATAGCCACTTGACCTCAATGAAAGGTGGAGTGGGGAACAGATGAAATTGTATTTTAAATGGACTTTGATGGGAGATTCAAGATTTTTGGTTGTTTTTTTTTTTGTGACAGGGTCTTGCCTTGTCACCCACGCTGGAGTGCACTGGAGTGATCACAGCTCACTGCAGTCTAAACCTTTTGGCCTCAAGTGATCCTCCTGCCTTGGCTCCCTAAGTGCCGGGATTGCAGGTATGAGCCACCATACCTGGCAGAAGTTCAAGATTTGGATAAACTATTCACTTCTTTGCCAAGCCTATTCAACTTACTCAGAGCTCGGTGTACAACTTGCCCTCATATGTATCTTGTCCCTGCTGTCTTTTAGGTTAGCAAGGTGTATGCATGCTTTTTGTTCTTTTTCTCATGGTATCAGTGAAATATTTATCTGTTCTCTAGCTAGGGTCAATTTATAAAATTGTCATGGAACTAAGCAAAAGGCCCACATAAAATAAAAATCACTTACCATGGAAGCCACCAGTATTTTTCAAGCTATGGCTTTTGAAGTGTAACAAATTTCAGTAAACAAAATCAAAAGAAAAAAATTCCTCTGTGTACAACAAAGGAGCACCTGTTATATTTTGAATGCATTCTTCATGTTGCCACCTTTATAAACTTGTTTTTTTGATGCTTCAACAGACAGAAGTGAAAATTATGTGTCAATCTTAAGTACATCAAGGTTTTCCTCTACATAGTCCTAATGCAAAATGCTGGCTGGCAATCAGGGCTCTTAGAAACAGCCTTCGGAAGTTAAACTTCTGGATTTCAAAAGCTAGTACAGACTGTTGTATTTAACAAAAGGAACAAACCTTCATAAATGATACAAACTATCTGCCCAACACACTCTTCTATTTTCCAGGCCCTTTAATATTGAGTAAAGTCTAATCTTGGACTGACTATGGTGGGTTAGGTCTTATCTAAGTATTTTAATAGTTATCTAGGGATAATGAATAAAATCAAATACAACTGGTACCTCAAGTATCGTAAGAGAATAAATTTATGAAGACAAGCAGACCGAAGCAACTCAAGATATTCTACACCTGACTAAACAATGCGTTACCTATGAAACTTATTACGTACAAATTAGTTCTTGAAGACAGAAGTAAACATGTGAAAAAAAAAAAAAAAAACACCAGTAAGTGTTCAAACAGATCCCTGTTTTAAGAACAAGAGCTCTAAGTGGCACCTAGTGGGTATTTTAGGAGGAACAAAAATAAAAAACTGGATGATACTCCAACTAAATAAAAAATGCAGCTGCTTTTTACATTTTAAAAACATATTTACCACCCTGAATTATAAACTCAAGGCAAGTAGCTTATTATACCAATAAGGACGTGGTATGATAAATTCTCTCATACAAGTTGTCATCAATCTCAAATAGATAAAAGGCACAGAACCAATCTAATTCTTTCATTGCATTTTAAGGCTTTGTCCCCGCTAAGGGCCAACTTTCACTGTGGTTAAAGTTATTTTCTCTAAACTCTTCTTTTCAAAGGATCTGTTATAGAGATCCTTTATTCACCTGCTCTTATAGTTCCACATCAACACTAAAATGAAGATAACAGAATTAGGGTCTTAGTTCTCAGAATGCTTTTAACTGGTGACAAGAAGGAAGAAGCCTATAGTTAAATATCCCAGAAATTTATTTGATGTTTGCTTGAATACATTTTATGTAGAAAGATTGGGATTATTTGCTTTAGATGCCCCTGGTAAATCTCATGAGGCATTGAACTAGAAAGGGGTGCCAATGTGGAGACATCAGAAACGGAAATCACAAGCCCAATTTTAGAACTATTCTTAAAGATTTGTCTCTAGTGAAATGAGGCCACTCCCTTAAAAATGCTCAAAGTGTTAGAGCTACTGTGTGAAAACAGCTGACATTTAGGAGGGCATTTCATGTTCTGATCTGTTAGAACATTTAAATACTTGGAAATAAAAAATATTCAGCTTTGAAGTTTTCAATACTGGAAAACTTTCAAGTCTAGAATTTCAGCCAGGAAGGGCTGCTCTGTGTTCCTTATATTGGACTCTGTTTCCCACAAAGTTAATCTTCAGCTTTGGCTTCCATTTCTTCTGCATCATCATCTCCATCCACTTCGGCATTTTCTCTTTCAAGCCTCTCCATCTGCCTCGCAAGTTCAGTCTCATCTGTATCTGTGACCACTTTGGGCTGTTGAAGCAGAGGTATAATTTAAAACTGAAGTAGTAAACACTATACAAATTTAATTTCAATACTATTACTGCCTCATGTTTTCTCTCTTTAACACTTTTCTAACAATTCTGTCATATCTGTTCACTTTTGAGTGCTGACTTGTCACTAAAAAATTCCATTAGATAAATAGGTGAAATTTATGAAAACAACAGTATACAAAAAAGATGTATGCATTAAAATGGAAATTTGTTTTTGTCATCTTTATAAGCTAAAACTGAAAACATGAAATAACTCCAGTGGCTGTATCTTTCAAGTCCACAAAAAGATGTCCTGTTTAAAAAAAAACATCTTCCAGGCTCAAACTACCACTTACTAGCTTACTAGTCCCTTCCACTGAAGGAACCTCTCTCTCTCACGTGTGCACACACACACATTTTTTTTCTTGTTGAGAAAATGAAAAGACAGGAGACTTTTTTTTCTAATTCTAAGATCAAATTTTAGACATGCCACATCCAAATTCTAACAATAAAAAAACTTCTCATTTATATTGTTTATTCTCTTCCCCCTGGCCAGGGGATGGGTGGGGTGGTAAGTGTGACCCCCAACACCATTAATGGTCAAAGGCTTGAATAATCATCCTACAATATGATATTCCAAGGCCAACAGCTCTTATTTATCTACAAAAACCCCTTTTAGAAACCTCCTGAGACATTAAAAATGAATCTATTGATCTCACCTCCATTTGAACATTGAACACACCCCTCTTTTCCTCAATCTTTTCTTTGATAACAGCCATTGCTTGACTGAGGACAGAAAGGCCTTCTGTTCTCTCCAGGGTTGTCGTAGTCATTACATACCGAGGAGGAGCTATTAGATTAATCTAAAAGAGAAAACAAAAATTCAATTATGAATATACCTACAGAACCCACAACTATTAGGATGTTTGAGATTTTATTACTCTGCTATATTAACAAATCACCCCAAAATGTGCCAATTCTATAGGACAGTAATTTAAGGTCCTACAGAATTGGCGATTATGTTTTGGGGTGATTTGTTAATGTAGAAAAGCGAATCGATACAGAAATCTAATGCAGTAGTATACAGTCCACTGTAACACTGAATAAGAACAGTTATAATTTCTGGGTATCTTTGGTAGCTCAATTAAATGCAATTATCATCAGTATAATGGATAATTTGTCTCTGAATCAAACTGATTGAAGAATCCTTATACAAGATTCTGAGTTATTGCCATTCAGTTAATTTTATCACTAATGAAAGATTCTGATCAAACCTCATAAAATTTGCATATGTATAGATGGGAGAAAGTGTTACTCTTTTTAAAGTGCTATCAGTATTTTGGGCACAGCAACTCTTTATTGTAAAGGCTTTCTAACAATAGGAATCTCCATTCACTGTGATAGTAGCAGTAGAAACCAAAAGGCCTAAACATAAATCACAAACATCTAGAAATATTACTAAGACTCACTGATTAATTTTAAGAGTAAAAAAGCCACTTTTGTTACAAAGTATGATTTTTTTAAAAAATCAAAACAAAGATCAAAGATCTTATTTGGTGTAGGTGGGTATTTGAGCAGGGAGGGAGACAACTGACAACTCACCTTAATGGGCATGGTTTCTGTAGAACAATTCAAACCTGCTCTTAGGGCTTCTTTTACAGCATCAATGCCTTCATAACCATAACAAGCCACTTCAATATCTGTAATTACAAAATTCAGAAGTTGACACCAAAAAATGCAAAAAATATTTAAAAGTTTAAAGAAAATGAAACATGGCAGACATACTAGTATTCAGAGACTTAACCTGAATCCAACGTCTACACTGCAGTTCCTTATATATAAACTGGAGGTAAGGAGGAGTGTGGTAAAGATGGAATATAACAATAACTGCAACTTATCTAAAACAGTTTAGAAACTACATTATCCTTTGACTCAGAAATTCTACTTTTAGGAATTTGTCTTGAAGAACATTTGTGTAAATGGGTAAATATGTATAATATAAGGGTGCTAATTTGTAGCTTTTTTTGGTATCTGTGAGAAAACTGTAGATGTTCATCAAGAGGGGACTGGTTTATGTTAAGGTTTATCTGTTCTATGAAACATTACTCAGAATAAAAAAGGATGAAAAGGTTCCTTTGTTCTGCATGGAAGGGCACCTATGATACACTGGGTAGAAAAGGCTAGATGGAGAAAATCCTGTATAGTATTTGTAAAAATTGGGAATATTTTAAACTATGCACTAAAACCAAACAATCAAACCCCTTTTTTTTTAAAAAAAGGGCTAACTTTAGGTTAGTTGAACTCACATGACTGTTTCTACTTGTGTTAATACAGAAATCTTATGATTCAGAAGCCAAAACAATTTCTTAAGCTTTTATTATAAAAAATAAACATTTAGAAAAATTTATAGACGGTGATGTAGCAACATAGTCTTTGGTTAAGTCTCATTATTTAATAGCTTTTTTGATGCATGTAAAATATTGTGAAAACCATTTAAAAAATCATTTACCCGCTCGAATTTTGACAGCCTGTGGGGTCAAGCGCCTATTAATATTATTAATGAGTACTTCCCGTTCATCTTCATTCAAATCTAAACTATCCAAAATAGATGGGTCTCTGGTGAAAAAAAATAAATAAATAACAAAAAGTCAAGATTATATTACTGATAAATGTGAAACCAAGTACCCTGGAATAATGCATATAATAGTAAAGAAAGCACAGGCTTTAATGTCACAATTAGAGTTCAAATCTTAGCTGTGTACTTACACCCAACTAATTACTAGTGAAATCAAAATTTTAGTGATCCGACTACAACAAGAAATTTAGTATGTCCTAACACATCTGATAATCTAATATAATTGATTACTTCCATGCAATTAGCTGTCTCTGCCTCAAGGAGTTTATAATCTAGCTCGAAAAGAACAAAAACAGGGAAAAATTTGTAAATGTTAACAGTATATCTGTGGGCATCAGGAGAGGAAGGTATTACTTTCTAATGAGGTCAGGAAGGGCTTCATGCAAAAAGTAGTATTTCATCTAGGTGCCACAGGACATGGACCAGGGTCTTATTAACTGGCATGCCTATTGAATGAGTAAACAAATAAAAATATGAAATAAAGACTAAAAGAGGAGTAGCATTGTAAAAAGCAAAGGCAGAACTATTTTAAGTAAGTTAAGATACATAGTGCTGGCCACCAGTGGCTCATGCCTGTAATCCCAGCACTTCAGGAGGCTGAGGCAGGAGGACTGCTTGAGACCAGGGGTTTGTAGACCAGTCTAGGCAACAGAGCAAGACCTTCGTCTCTATTACAAAGAAAAAAAGAAAGTTATGCCATATAAAAAAGGAATAGTATGAGCAAGCATCAGGCTTAATAAGCAAGGGGTCTAGTTAAGGAACAAAAGACAAGATAATTTGGGTGGAGGGAACTTTTACTCAGCTAATATAAAAAAACAAAAAGACAGGCCGGGTGTGGTGGCTCATGCCTGTAATCCCAGCACTTTGGGAGGCCGAGGCGGGTGGATCACGAGGTCAAGAGATCGAGACCATCCTGGTCAACGTGGTGAAACCTCGTCTCTACTAAAAATACAAAAAATTAGCTGGGCATGGTGGCGCGTGCCTGTAGTCCCGGCTGAGGCAGGAGAATTGCCTGAACCCAGGAGGCGGAGGTTGCGGTGAGCCAAGATCGCGCCATTGCACTCCAGCCTGGGTAACAAGAGCGAAACTCCGTCTCAAAAAAAGAAAAAAA